GTTGAACAAAGAAAATATTACTGTCTATGGGCAGCTTAAGCCTATCACGCAGATATAACAAAACACTTGCAAAAGTATGTTTTTGAGGAAAAAAAAGACCAAGCAAGCGAAGCACGTTGTTAGGGTTTACTACACCTAAAAAAGACATTTAGAAAATAGTGTTTTTCTGGTTTTTAATAAAAGTTTTATTTTTAAAGTTACAAGGCTGCATTTAAATTGAATTTAACTGTAGACTTGCAAGAGGTTCAGCTGAGCTTTAAAGTAAAACCACAGCCAAAACTATTTTGTTTAATGTGGATAAAGCGGAAAAGAGTTTAATCTCTGCCATTGTTTCATTACTGTCTGGTAACAGCACTGTCACCAACACAGGAAGTCACGAAAATCTCACTTGCAGATATACAACAGCAATTAAATCACTTTTTCAATAGAGTGAGAGAATTCTGCAAACAATGTGCACAGGGGCAGAAACATTTTTAATGTTCTATTGTGGGGAATGAGAATGGAGGTGTGAACTGAAATATTGGCCCCAATGGTGTTTGTATTCTGTTTGTATTTGTTAATAAAAATTTAGAGGGTTATTCACAAAGCTGTCACAGGCAGCCGAGTGAATAACCCAGCTGAAGTAAAGTGAGCCGAACGACGTTCGGCTATTAACTCCGGCTCAGTACGGCTAAATTCAGCTGTGCATTGGCTGAAATCAGCCGTGCATTGGCTGAAATCAACCGTACTTCGGCTGCCTTCAGCTAGTCGAACATTCTCTGCATGTTTGGCTGAGCTGAAGTGCAGAGGGACTTTGACGAAGCTACGACAGCTCACTTGCTGCCGTTCGACCCTATTCTCATAGGGGCCGAACGGCAGTGAGTGAATAGCCGAATCCCGCCGAGCTATTCGCCAAGTGCCGCCGAGCTCGGCTATTCTGCTCAGTACCTCTGAGGTACAGAGCAGAATGCCAAAAGAGTGAAATGAATGGGGGGGAAAAATTAAAAAGGGATGAAAAATAATTGTAAAAATTTAAATAAATATAAAAATTAAAAAAGAATTAAAATAGTTTCAAGGAAATAAAATAAAAAGAAAATAATAAATAATGAAAAAAACGCGGGCAAAAGAAAAACAATTGGGCGGAGCTAGCAGTGACAGCTAGCTGTTTCCTTTTGGCCAGCACATGCCAGAGTCTTCTAGCAGGTCCTGTGCCAATGAATAACAACTGGGCGGAACTGGCCGTGACGTTACAGCCTTCTCCGCCCAGTTTTTATTGTTTAATGACACATCAGCGTCCCAAGGTCATTTGGGGACGCTGATCTATCATTACAACTGGCTCCGCCCGGCTGTCATTTGCATGGAGATCGGTCGGCTTTGACCGACCTTTCTCCAAGCTTCGGCGTTCACTTCGGCTCAGTCGAGCTGAAGTATATGCCTTCGGCTCGGCTGAGCTGCTCAGCTGCCTTCGGCTGCTGTACGGGCTGTTGTGCATAACCCGTACAGCTGCCCTACGAACCGGAGAGAACCGATGGATCAGCCGAAGCTACGGCTGTATCCTTCGGCTTCATAGTGAATAACCAACTTAGTGAATTTAAAAAATATATATTTCCCCACAAACTCACTAGGAGCTTCCCTACTCTCTATGAGGTGGTGCAGCCTATGGATTTCCAAACACATTACAATCTGACCGCACACATTCATCTTTATAGTTACCAAACCTGTGTAATATAATCAATCTGTATCCAATCAGACAGGACCTTGCATTACAGACTTGCTGGTAGTTCTATAATAGATTGTACAATCAGATTGTAATGTGTGTAGTGAGCTTCGCAGGCATACATTTTTGTTTCTGGTATTAACAATTTGGATTTTCTACATACAATTTTTCTGTTCTCCCTTGCGTTACTTCAGTTTCGTTTGTGGGATTTTTGACACCAAACAAACTTTTTGATTCCCAAACAAATTATGCCAGACTTTCATGGTACCATAACACATGCTTATTATCCAATAATTTTTTATTAAAACAAATTCTTTGTAAAACATTTATATCCAAATGTCCAAAATATATCAGTAGTGACAGATTATAACATCCCTGAGAGATTGACCCATTTTTTAAACTGGGCCAGCAATCGTCACAACACTGATCCTCTTAGTCCATATGCTGAATGCAAATAATATACATACAGTTTGTGCATGCAAAGAGAGAGGTGAAAATGGTATACCCAGCAATGGGGACACAGAACTCGACGCGTTTCGCAGAACTTCTTATTCTGCTTCCTCAGGAGACCCTCAGGCATATACTGTTCAAACTTTTTAAATCTGTTATAATGTAATCTGGTGGCATACCACAAAACATGTATTAGACTCATTTAAGTACGTAGTGGACTCCTTTACCAATTTCTTGGCAGGAAACATAGTCCACGTCTACTTTTTTCCAACTGTGAATTTCATTGTTTGGCTCCACTTCTACTTTAAATTAAACAATTCCTCAGAGAAATGTGTCATTATCAGTATCCTTCTGAAAATGCTAATTCTCTGGCTCTTGTGTTGACCTTTTGCATTCAGTACTTTAAATTCCTGACCCAGAACAAGTATGCTCTGCTTGGCCTTTCTCTCAGGAAAGTTTTCATTTACCAGGAGCTGAGCCACAGATAAACTGTCAAATGTAAAGGCTTGTTCTCACTAGCGCACTTGGTCTGCATTGAGAAGTTTTGCCCAACGTAGTCCCAATGCATAGTCAAGACGATTTGCTTTATGTCTGATTGTTTCAGTTCACACCAATACAACGTAGTAGGACAGGTTGCTGTTTAGCGACACACTATACCCTATATGACTTAGGTGTTTCAACAGCGAGAGCTCCCTGCCATAATTTGCTTTGTGTTTTTGAGCACCTCCTGTTACATTCTCCATAATATAACATCCAGCAGGGAGGGAGAGTGGGACCCCTCATGACAGCCGCAGCAGGTATGCAGACACAGGAACTCAAGTGTAGAAGCTCTGGCATTTGACATATGCCAATGTGTTATCATATACCACTTTGAATTCTATGATTGAGCTCCGCCTCTAATCAGCACGAAGCCTTGATTCCTGATTAAACTGTCAAATACCAGAACATCAGTGGGCAGCAGAAGCTTTCATAAATAAGTAGCTGAGGGTGGATTTAAAGTAGTATTAAACTCTCAATCTTCTTTTTAGAAAATAATTCAGATCAAACAAATGTACATTGTCTAGCAAAGTGTTTCTTTACATTTATGGCCAAACACTTACAGTCATCATGTTTCCAAACAGCTGGCTCCAACTCTCTCAGCTCCACTTCCCTGAACTCCCTGTCCAGTACAAGGTCACAAGGGACAGCACGGTCTCCAACAGCCATCCATCTACTGGCTTGGAGAAGGACGGCAGAGAAAGGAGGAAGGTGGAGCAGGGAAGTGGCTTGTCCCTCTGTGACGGCTACTAGCACACACAAAAGTGAACCCATAGAACCCTGCAATGGAAAGGAGCCATCCTAAAACAGGATATCAAGGCCAGTGCTCAGGGGACCAGCTGATTCTGCATGAAACTAAGGGAGTTATTCACGAAGGAGCCAAAGGATCCAGCCATAGCTTCGGCTGATCTTTCGGCTCTCTTTGGCCGCCTCTGTCCTTCGGTTCAGTCAAACCGAAGGGCTGCTGTACGGGCTATTCACTATAGCCTGTACAGCAGCCGAAGGCGGCCGAGCGGCTCAGCCGGGCTGAAGACATATGCTTCGGCTCGACTGAGCCGAAGTGACACCCGAAGCGGGGCGACTGGCCTGCTGAAGGCCGGCCATTTGCCCCGCAAATGACAGCTGGGCGGAGCTAGCCTGATCTCATGGCTGGATCCGCCCAGTTGTAATGACAGATCAGCGTCCCCAAATGACCTGGGGACGCTGATCTGTCATTAAACAATAACTGAGCGGAGCCGGCCGTGACGTCACGGCCGGCTCCGCCCATTTGTTATTTATTGGCCGGGACCTGCTAGAAGACTTTTGAAGGAGCAGCACCCATTGTACATGATTTAATCAGCATTTAGTATAGCCTAAAAATCTTTTTGCTTTAATATCACTTTAATCTCAGCCTGGGAGAAAGGTGATTCCCCATGTACTTTATGGGCATTCAAAGGTACTTCACAGGGACAGATGGAGTAATTTAGCCCTTAATTGACCAGAGGACATTGAAGCTCAGATGCCCAGATCAAATGTATCAGTGTCAGTATATATCAGTTAACTTGATATGACAAATTTGTAGGTTTGACAGCAGGGTCTGAAAACTAGGAATGCACACAGGTGCACATTTCTGGTGTTCTGCTGCAAAGTTAATTAACATTCTCACAGCATGGAGCATTGTATGCGAGGGCTTAAAAGTTGTATTGTGGTCATGATGCTGGTACTTTAAAGTACCACAAGGTGCTGCATAGTGTTGTTACCTTGCCTGAAATATTTTAGGTTTTGTTATGCTGTCATTAGAGGAGGTGAACGAAATAATGAAGGCACACACAACATTGAAATCTGTCTTCTTCCTGTACAGTGGCAGTTTAGTAGATGGAACCTCAGGAAATTCCTTTTCCATTGGGCTGTATGCATTTTCCACAAACCACTTTGCTTATTAAATAAGCCTGACTCTGGCATCCACATAGGTATTGGAGTAGTGTAGAGCTTCTCGTGTCAGATCTGGAGGAGGAGAAGAGCAGAAAGAGGGAATGCATTTTTCTAGTGAGTTAAACCAAATGAACTTGTGCTCCAGTGCAGGACTAATACTAGTACAACATCTTCTCTGTTTTTGAGATTACAAGCTTAATCACTGGGAAATCCCATTCCGCAGTCAAGCACGCTACAGAACGGTGAGTACTATTCTGTGAATCTAAACAGACAAAGTACCATGACTTCTAGCTTCTGGAAAAACTGAAGAATTTTAACCCATTGACACATCCCCCTCTGCTGATTCATTGATCTAAATGCTTTAAATAGAGGGAGAGGTACAAGCCTTTTCTTAGTCTGTCCAGCTGCAGAACACAGAAACAGCTCCAACATCACTTTAGGATCATATTCAACTAGTGGGGTAGGTGGATTTTATGATTTCTCCTTTAATACAGTTATTATCAATTCTCCATAGTTAATGTTTTTCATTGTGTAGAACCTAAACAGGATCAGTGTAAAGTAAAGCAGAATTTCTGAATGACTTACACAGATGACTTTATTTTCTTATCTGCATCTACTTATGTTTTCATTTATTGTTTAACGTTTTGAAGTGACAGGTTGCAATTATTGATCAGAATTGGAAGTGACTCAAACATCTGCTTTGCTAAGTATTTAAATTATAGAATGGCATGAAATGAATATAATTAAATTGTTAAAACTGTAACTGAACTTTTAGTTAATACAAGTTGGGGGGCAAACATTTTAATCATTAATAATAATGTTTATGCTAATTTTTTTATCATTAATGATCATTTTTATGCACAGTTCTATAATTAATGACTATGCCATACACAGAAATATTACATTTGGATGGATACATTTTTCTTTGGCTTTTTTTCTATTACATGTAATGTTTTCTGAAGTTCTATTCGGCACTCACACTAATTCTAGTGCAACAAGTCCAAGTGTATATACTGTACACAGAAACCAGGACACTGTAATAACACTCAAAGTGCTGAAGTGCAGAAATATCAGACCTGAAAAAGCACTGCTGGACTGACTCCAGTCCAAATGACGTTATTCTTGGAAGGATACAATGCATGTACAGCACAATATTGGGACCACATGAAACTGTTTGTCAGGAAATCCTTCTACAACATGAAGACAATAGTTTGGCTGCTTGCTAAGTGCCTGCAAGACACAATTCAGTCTGTTCCTAACTAAAGTGCTGCATGGAAGAATAACAATGACTTCTGATAGAAAACTATTTCCTAAACTTTACTTTTTTTTCAAATCTACCAAAAAAAAACCTCTAGAGGGCAACATTGAATTGTGGTTAATCATACATCCATTCAGATTGTGTCATAGTACATATTGTAGACCCCTGGTGCCCCACACATGGCCCACAGGCCACATGTGTTCTGCCAGTGCTCTGTGTGTGGCTCATGGTGTCTTGGACTAGAGCAAATGCCAGACACCTGGAGACACAAAACGGTGGCTTGCAGATGTGTCAGCCACATCACCGGCCAGTTCCTGTATAGCACTAGCCACATGGGCTGTCAAGAGATCATGTGACTCTGTGGGGCTAGGAATGAGGTTGTCAGTCCTACCCTGTTAAAGAAGTGAAATGAAGTGTGGAAAGGAAATACAGACTAATGCGAGTTAAACCGGTTTGTATTTTTTACATTTTTGCCCTAATGTGCAATCATGCACAGCATACTTGCACATTAGGGCACATTTACTTTACAACTCTCCAGCACTGTCGGATCGATCGTCTGTCCTCAGCGATGTCCCTCCCCGTCACCATCTCCACCGCCAACACTTCCGGGTTCTTGGAAGTCCTATGCATCCATGTGTGACCTGTGATGATGTAATTCCTGCAGATGTGCACAGGAGTTATATCCACCCTGGAACCTAGCCCATTCTAAGATGTCGTGAATGGGCTGAGTGTGTTCACCACATGGCGCATGTGCTGTAAAGTCAGGGCCGGTGCTGCCACTAGGCAAATTAGGCAGCCGCCTAGGGTGCAGCCTCGACGAGTGGCTTTCTTGGCCACAACTTAGAGGGGAAATTTTCCTTAGTTCCTTGTGGCTGCTAACAGCTTTTCATTTACGGTGGCAAGGAACTGTGCCTGATTGATAGGGATGCACCTAGACCAACGTTTTTACATTTTTAAACAGAAGCGGCAGCCTGAGGTCCCGTGCTTGCTGGGGATTTGGCAGCCTTCCTGTGAACCACCGGTCTGCACATCTCCTCCTTCCTGGGGTACCACACTGCCCGCACCCGCCAGTGAGACCATCTGGACCCCTGGTGAGACACCGCACAGCCCTGGGGAGACCCCACACATCCTCCCTGAGACCCCGCACAGCCTTCCTGAGACCCTGTACAGCCCACCTGAGATCCCACACAGCCCTCCTGAGTGCCCACACGGCTCTCCTGAGAGCCCGCACAGTCCACATGAGGCCCTGCACAGCCCTCCTGAGACCTCACACAGCCCACCTAATACCCCAGACAGCTCTCCTGAGACCCTGTACAGCCCACTTGAGACCCCGCACAGCTCTCCTGAGATCCTGGAGACATAAGGCCACCACCGAGAACAACACAGTATGTAGCTTCATATTATTCTGCATTGCTGCATAACGTATTGCTGGGATTTGTAGTTCTCTATAGCCTGTAGTATTCTGTATTGCTGGGATTTGTAGTTCTCTAAAGCCTGTAGTATTCTGTATTGCTATATAATGTATTTCTGGGATTTGTAGTCCACTATAGCTGGTGCCTTTCTGCATTGCTGTATAATGTTTTGTTGGGATTTGTTGTCCTCTATAGCTGGTGTTATTCTGCATTGCTGTGTAATGTACGGTAGGACGGAGCCGCTGTCAAAGAACTAATGCAGAGCGGTGAGGATAGAGAGAGAGAGACGCTCGGCCAGGATCTGACAGCCAGCGCCTCTCTCTCCCCTCTCTGCTCGTCCGTTCTGTCACAGCGGTTATAAGCCATATTCCTTTGTTTTTTTAATATATCAAGTTACTTAGAGGCTCAGTGATGGCCGCCCTCCTGGCGGAGACCCCGGCTTCTCTTACACATGTCGCTGCGCCCCCCCTATACGAATGAGGCAAATTTTTGGGCATCTTACCATGCTGATTGCCTCATACTGTACACAGATGTCTCCATACTCGGGGCAGAAATAGCAGGAACACTTTGCCTGTCACATGTGGGCTATTACAGGTCATTTATACGTCACATTTTGTCATGTATACACAGCAAATTAGCGGCTACAGGGCACTGCAACAGCTGCTGCATGTCATCATAGGCGGCGCCTATTATATGGAGACTGCGATTGTGTGATTTTTCTGATTTTTCTCAGCTATGGGCAGCTCAGTGTATTGACCTCCACCTTTGTGACTTTTTACATTTTATATGTTTGCTGTTCCATATTTACATCTCCAGTACAAACAGATGGCTTTTCTCTCATGTACAGTGTGTTACCCTGCATTCAGTGGTGTATTTTGGTTTTGTGCTGCCCTAGGCAGGACTAGACTCGGGCACCCCCCTCAATCCAAATTTGCCCCACCCCATCCTGTTTAGGACATTTTGCGCAACCTGTCAGTCACTGGATACAGCAAACACGGGGTCTCAGGAGAGCTGTTCAGAGTCCCTTTCCCTGCATACATTGTGTTGGGGCAGCATTTTCTGCCCCCCCCCCCCCCCCTGGAAAGTGCCGCCCTAGGCAAATGCCTAGTTTGCCTTGTGGTAGATACACCCTTGCCTGCATTGTTGAAAGGCGTGTGTTTTACATGTGTGGTAGCACAGCACGCTTGTGCAAATGAACCCTAAATAATAGTAATTTACTACTGTTTTCTGCGTTATTTAAAAAAAAAAATCATCAGTTTTATTACCTAGTTAAAAGGTTATTAAACCCTCACTTTTTTTGCATATATCTACTGCTAGCAAGCAAAAACACCGTAAAAAAACAAAACAAAAACAGGTTTAAACTTACCTGTGTCTTTGCCGCGTGCTCCCGTCTGAACATCTGAAGGGTCTCGGACGGCCGCAAAGGATCTTGGGGCAGGCGCATGCACACTTCAGATGTTCGGCCGGGAGATGAGGAGAGACAAAAGGTAAGTATATGGAGCAGTGTGCACCTGCTTTTAAAATTAAGCAATATACAAGGAGAACACCCAAAAGAAGCACAGCTCCTCCACTGCTCAGGGAAACAATGAGCTGGGTGTTTGCCACTGGGAGCATGTCCTCGCCCAAACATGAGCCCATACAAACAGTAGAAAAGCTGGCCGCACACTGGATTCCACTGGGATGGTTTATTGAAGCTTGTACCACATCACTGGTGTCCCACCAAAGGTCAGCTCGCTGATGCATTTCACCCAAGCGGATGTGTGGCCAGCTTTTCTTCTGCTTTTATGAAAGCAATATACAAGTTGCAGTAACCTGTATCAATCAGTCATTAATTATATATAATTATTTTGACAGTTCTAAGTTGTTGTTCTTTTTGTTAGCTTAGTAAGCAAGTCTATTCATTTTTCTTTCCCAGACATGTTTAACCAATTTGAAGAAAATGAAGGGTTCCCTTCTTATTCGTGTCAGGGAGAGGGAGCCATGGCTTCGTTTAGCGGGGGTCGTGACGGCGCCCCCCCTCAGTCCTGCGCCCGGGGCAAGTGACCCCCCCGCACCCCCGGTTGTTACGCCACTGTCTTACATCACATACAGACTATCAAAACTTGGCTTGGTTTAGACAATTTCAGACACATATTCTCTTCTAAACGATTTGTTCATCCTTAAACAGGGTCCTACAAATGTAGTTGCTTACATCTAGGATACACCTTTCACTTAGTAATAAAACACATCACTCACTACTTAAGTGTGTGGAGAGTTTGTAACCACAGACTATTAATAACATTTAAGGGTTTGAGTATGCACTTCATGAGGCATTAACAGTCACTGTAGGACTGGTCTGAGTTTCATTGGTGGGTTGGTGGGGAGTGCTGCTATCCCAGAAAGATAGAGCAGTAAATATATAACAGAGTTTCATTATGATAACTGCTCATGGATATTATCATTTGTTCTGCTTCACCACTGGCATAACCCTAATACCAAGTGTTTGCATTTTTAAAAGTTTAGATTTTTCACATTTTATGGTATTTGTGTGTATCTATAAAGGGGTTCCAATAAGTCTTTATTTGTTACTACATAGTAATGTCCCAACCTTCCATCTTTCTATTGAACAGCAATACTGTATTTGAAAACATTGCACTGCAGTACCAGCCCTTACCAGTATGTGTCACTGCAGAGAGAGCTGTAGCTGAAAATTTACATTCTGAGAAACCAAGGTTGTGTACTAAGGGGTACCCTATGTTTTGCTATACTCCCAAACAGATGGGGAATTACCCATTTTCCTTGAAAACAAAA